ATGATAAATGATAACCATAAGTACCTATACAATACAACATCAGCGCTGCCACAGGACCAGCCGGCACCAGCCCAAGAGTGGTGCCGTCTCTGGTTTCTGAAGCCCTCATCCTGCCAGCACAGACTTTGATTCACACACATCTCGATATGTACAAAAGGAGCGATATGTACAAAAGGAGCATGTGACTGCTACCCCCAACCATCCCCCCCCCGGAGCCACAGGGCTCATCCCAGCCAGCTCTGTCCTCCTGAAGGACCTTCACACGAGCCAGACCTCACCGCCAGGAGGACCGCAGGGTGGAGAGACCACAGGCAAGGGCTGAGGAAAGGGGGCTGCAGCCGTCAAGGCAAAAAACCTCCCAAGATGCTGGTTCTGGAGTTACGACATGCACAGGAACATTAGCGTAGACTTTGCACGTCTGAGTGTGAGGCGTTGGAGCGACAGTCGAGCCCCTCCTGCTCGATGCCAAATGCTACTGGATCAGGGACTCTGCTCCCGTTCCGAGCCCCAGAAAGACTCCAGGCAGTGGGACCTGCCTGCACAGGCGAGACCGCTGGGTGCCACAAGAACACCTCCAAGTGTCAAAGTACGATCGTGAAGGTACTAGGAACCGGATAAGGCCAGCACTAAGATAGGTGTGATGGTACCACAGCTTCTGTCCCGCCAACACCCAGGCACACGCTTAACTTTTAAGAAAAAGAACCCACCAGTACAGCCAACGGGACTTTTCTGGGTGGAAAGCAGTATGCATCTGCAGGATCAGGCCATTAATGCTCCCCACCGTCGCTGTTTTGAAATCGCAGCCCCTGGGCAACGCGATCTGGCTTTGAGATCAGCTCTGCTTTGAGCAGAAGTTGGATTCAGCAGCCCGCAGAGGTCCCCCCTCAGCCGGAGTCACTGCACACTGTCACCAGGGTACAGCAACAGCAGCCACAAGGGACGCTGGACTGGTGTGATGTATCGTGGCAAGGCAAGCTGCTCTAACTTTTATGGAAATACCGCACGTAATGATGCCGATTCACACCCGCTACTTGTCTCTCCTTTCATGACTGACGTTGTCACGTTCTCCAGGCACAAATGGGCACCTTGACCTACTTCATTTCATTAATTGGGTGTAAGTTCTGCGCGTGTTTAAGGATTTGTGGGATGGAGATCTGACAGCTTAACAGCCGTAATTGCACTTAAAACTATTTTCATCATTAAAATAATTTCACCTGTCACATTTTCTCTATTTTAATACTGGGATAATAGCAAGTGTAATTTCAAACATGAAATACTTTGTGGAAATAGCTTTGCAAGTTGTTTTAACTATATTTTCATACCTGTATATTTGATATAATACATATATTAACACACAACTATGCAGATGCTGTCTCGTAAAAGAAATAATAGATTAAATAGTTATGCTAAGTAGTTAAAAAAAAGATCAAGAGTAGCAAATACTTTTGGTATCAGGATTTTTTGTAGCTATCAGGATCAAATTAAGAGTTCCCGATACAAATAAAATATGTGCTTGGCTGCAGGTTTTGCCTGGGCAACAACGAGATCAGGCTCTGAATGCTAAAAAGATACTTAAATGTCAAGAAAAGTAAGATATAGTAGGGGCACTTCATTAAAACAGAGGAGTAATTTTGCTTATGAAGAGTTACAATGCTCCTCAGTGAAAATACAGGGAGCCTGATGGATTCGCCGATATCATCCACCACCACTGTGTAAATTTTACCCATGGATTAACAACAAAAAGCTTTTTGCTTAGGTGCTTTCGCATTAAAAATACGAACGGTTTTTGGGGCCGGGTGCTGCGAAATACTCAGCATTTACATTTCTGCGAGTGGTCCCAGGGAGAGCGAAATTACAGATGGACGAGGGCAGCTTCGGGAGAAGAGGGGACCCCACACAACAGCAGAGGGGTGCTGGCATGGTGGGGAAACTACTTTCGGGGATGAGGCTTTGGGAAATCGCAGCAGGTTTTCGCAGGCATGATGAAAACACAGGCATTGCGGTGCCCTTCTAGGACACGAAAAGAGAAATAAACGCCAGTGTGTGCAAAGCAGCCCTTAAAATGCAGGTGGGGGCTGAGGTGGGCATGGGGGGACTGTCCCTGACCCGAAACCTTCTACTGAAGTCAAGCCTGAAGGACGCGAGTCGTGTCGTTAGGGTATCGCTTCAGCCAGTCATTAATTGTTGCGGGTAAATGGCTGATATTAGTTATCGATCACTACAAAGGGGAAAAATAATTGTTAGGAAATTCTGCCCTCCCCCTCCTTCATTTCCCACAGCCCCAACCCAACTCTTCACCCTGGGGCTGGTCGAGGGACTGCGGGAAATAAAACTACAGCCGGGGGCGGGGGGGGAGGGGTGAAGGCATTTTTGGGTGACCCAAACCCCCTTATTTTCCAGTGCGGGGGATGCCAGCCAAGCGCCCGGCTGGAAGGTCCCCGCAACCCCCCCGCC